ACCCATTCCCCCAAAATATCAAACTTCTTACTGGATAGGATGGTGAGAGATTACAGTTAAATAAAAACTCAAATTCAGAATTAGATGCTCAAATTAAATTTAGCTAGAATTTCTTTTTATTTTGAAAACCATTAGTTAGAATTTCCTTAATGTAGATTTCATGTTTGGTAGTATTCTTACGTGTTTGAAGGCTCAAGAAAATAACCTACTCAAATATTCATATCTTCCTTCATTTAGCATCTAGAAGACCAAACTCTTTCACATATAAACAAAACTAAATAAATTTCCTAAATCAGTTTTCATAGAATGTCTTAAAGAATTTAGTCATGTGGCTTTGTTAATACATATTTTGGATATAATGTTGAATTTGGTAGGTTAGGGTTTGATATGCTACCATAACAAATAAACTCTGACACGCAATTGCTTAAATCTACAAGTTTATTTACTACATATACCAATTTCCCACTGGGTACAGAATCCCCTTCCAAATCATTAATCAGACTCTCTTTGTCTTGGCTCCATCATTTTAATATTTGGCATCGAGGGTCAAGAGAGAACTGGAGGCATGTGCATAGGACGTTAATTACTTTGGCCCGGAAGTAACACGTGGCGTTACAGTCAACAGCTATAGGTTGCAGTGAGGCATGCAGCCTCGCGGCAGTGCAAGGCAATGAAAAGATGTGGTCTTTCCATGTGTCTATGATGGAAAGAAGAGTTGAATATCATCAAGGCAATATGTACCTCAACCATTTCCTGGACATCAATTATTTTTTTCCCTTTTTTCTCCTACTCAGAGTCAGAGGTCAGAGCACACCCTCTTCTTTGAAGACATTCCAGAGCTTTATCGAATTCATTGTGTCCAGCTTGTCGTCTAAGACGAGCTCTTGCTGTAGTCTCCATCATATCTCAATTAACAACTTCTGGTGTATACATATGTTAGTTAAAAAGATATGGGCCGTGCACAGTGGCTCACGCCTGTAATCCCAGCACTTTGGGAGGCCAAGGTGGGCAGATCACAAGGTCAAGACATCGAGACTATCCTGGCCAACATGGTGAAGACCCGTCACTACTAAAAATACAAAAATTAGCTGGGCATGTTGGCACATGCCTATAGTCCCAGCTACAGGGTAGGCTGAGGCAGGAGAAGCACTTGAACCAGGGAGGCAGAGTTTGCAGTGAGCCGAGATGGCACCACTGCATCCAGCCTGGAGACAGAGGGAGACTATGCCTAAAAAAAAAAAAAAAAGATACATCTTCTAAATACACACACACACATGAATGTTATAAGTAGAACAGATAACAAATTAAGGTCTTTCTTTTGAACTGAAGAAATAAAGAAAACACAAACAGTTGGTTGCATGTATGAATTTTGCAATGTCATGGAGCAGAGACTTAGAAGTCTTTCTACCCTGAGGGTGGCTAGTTCTAGTTGTGATTTAACTTTGAGATTCTTTTAGTCTTACTTTCTTTTCCTTCTGGGAGCATGTTTCCCTCAGGGAGGTTCTATTTACTTCCCTTTATTTTCCTTGGCAAAATTTGTTGTGGATGTTCGTGAATGCGTTTCTTAGCCTCTTGCTTTAGGAAAAGCGGGTCCAATTTTGTTTTGATTCTTGAGCAAAGCGGTACTGAAATTTCATGGGTAATGCATTTCTAGCAAATGAATGGTTCCTGTCTATTTTACTCTAGTAAATTCCACTTACAAGTGTATAAATGAAAATTATTTTTAGACTAAGTTAGCTATTTATTTGTTTTCTCCTCTCATTTCCATTTTTTTCATATTTTGGCATTGTCTGTATTGAGCAAGAAATGGGAAGAATATCTGTCTTTAATTTGAGCCTGGCTCTGAGTTATTTTACCCACCATAGAGGTTCAGATAAACACCATATTCTTAATTTAGCTTTTTGGTTCAATTTCAATTTAATGAAATGTCTTACTGGATTTTTTAATCACTTAAAGCCTTTAACAATATCCCATTTGAGGTCATTTTGTGCCCAAGAGAGTTAACGTCAGCATCTCTCATGACTGAAATTCTAGTATATGTTGTATATATTACATACTTTATCCATTTTTTAAAATGACAGAAATCTAGATCTGACATTGGCAGTTCACTAGGACACAACAAATCACCAACTACTAGGGATGTAATAGAAAGCTTTTTGTCAATATCTGGATGATTGGAATAGGTGAAACCAACTGTCTTAACACAGGGAAATGAGCAATGCTTGAGGTGACAGATACTGCAATTATCCTGATTTGATCATTACACATTGTATGCTTCTATCAAAATACCACATGTATCCCATAAATATGTACAACTGTTAGGTAGCAATAATCATTAAAAACAAAAAATTAAAAGGTAAAGATCCTTTAGAAAGCCAATGTTTGTTATTAGAATACATTCAAATATTTAATAACAAATTAAAGATTTTAATTTCCCAATAAAATACAAAATACAAAATTATAAATAATCTATTCTAAATCAAACTTGAAGCTATTATTTGAGGAGCTGAAAACAGGTAAAATAAACTCTTCCTCTGATCGTAATTCAACTTCCATTTTTGTAATTCTTTGTATCTAAATTCCCAAGAGTACAAGGTTGCATATCCTGAAGGCGTTGTTGTGCTTTCCTGCACTGATTAGATGCTGCTTGTTTAATGAACTCTGATAACAGCACTCAAATAGTTCACAGACTGATCATTTTTTCTTGTATATATGACAAGCAAGAGGCAGTGATTTCTGTGAACTGCCTGTCAACTTAGTATAGAAGAAAAGCTTAAATATGTAAACATTCATGTGACTTCTCTGTGCCTATTTGAATTTAAAGCATTTGAAGTTAATCAAACTATTTTATTTTTGTTAGCGTCATCAGCTACTTAGGCCCTTGTGATACGACCCTAAAGGAAAAATGCTTTCTCATTGGTTTACTCACTCATGACACTAATGTCCTCTCTAACTCTGCTCACTTGCTATTACTGTAAAAGTAGTTCATAAGCAAAATTTGGGATCTTTACTTTATTTATTTATTTATTTTGAGACGGAGTTTCGCTCTTGTTACCCAGGCTGGAGTGCAATGGCGTGATCTCGGCTCACTGCAACTTCCGCCTCCTGGGTTCAGGCAATTCTCCTGCCTCAGCCTCCTGAGTAGCTGGGATTACAGGCACGCACCACCATGCCCAGCTAATTTTTTGTATCTTTAGTAGAGACGGGGTTTCACCATGTTGACCAAAATGGTCTCGAGCTCTTGATCTCCTGATCCACCTGCCTCAGCCTCCCAAAGTGCTGGGATTACAGTCTTGAGCCACCACACCCGGCCTATTTTTTTCATATATTCACAATATGTTTGATATACTTGCAGGGAACTTATGGACTCTGTGATGTTCATAATGTGCCAACTTTTGGTGCCCTTGCACCCAGTGTTGGGAACTCCAACACCAGAAATTATGTCAGCATACAAACAACCATACAGAGACTCTCTGCACATTTATGAAGTGTTTTTTTTTTTTTGGCTTAAAACTATATTTATTTATTTAATTTATTTATTTAACTTTAGGTGCACATTATATCTGGCATTTCTCCCCATGTTATCCCTCCCTCCCCTCCCAGCCTCCCCACCCCTACTTCCCCCAGTGTGTGATGCTCCTCTTCCTGAGTGGTATTCCATGGTGTATATATACCACATTTTCTTTGTCCATTCTATCATTGATGGGTATTTGGGTTGGTTTCAGGTCTTTGCTATTGTACACAGGGCTGCAATGAACATATGTGTGCATGTGTCTTAATAGTAGAAAGATTTATAGTTCTTTGTGTATATACCCAGTAACGGGATTGCTGGGTCAAATGGAATTTCTTTTTCTAGGGATCTTTACCTTCTTTATTAGTTAAGTGAAATATAATTAGCACAACCAATGTAATTTTCTATTCCTCCAAAATATATAAAATTTCAAATTGAAAAGAAGTATATTTGTCAATAACAATTGATTTAATAGCTCGAAATATACATACTTTAAACAGAAACCAAGATGTCAAGAGATATTTTTACCTTGTATGTGTTTGACGTTCTTATTTTTTTGACCCATTTACTAATCAGAGCATTGCAAATTACCATTATTTTTCGACATAAGAATTTTTGCTGAAAAATTTGTGAATAATATGAAAATCTAAGTAATTCTCAGTATCTTTTATGTATAAAAGATACCTTGCCTATAAAAATCTAAGTCATATTTTTAGAAGGACTTAAGGATGAATAATTAACTGAGTAATAATCAGTTTGACTTTCACTAAAATTTTTAGTAAAGGGAATTGCAGTCTCCCTAGGTTTTTCTCCAGTGTGGGCTCTCTGAGCAGGTCACACATGTGGAATGGAACAGAGAGCAGGCGCATGCTGCTACTGCTTTGAGATCCCTGTCATCCATCTCTCTGTCAACAAGCAGGAACGAGATTGAAGAAACTATCTGGCAGAGACAAGTTCTGTAACAGTAGACCTCTGTGTATGATTCTGGTCAGTGGAGTTTAATGTCTGCATTAAAAGAGTTGGTAACAGGTATTCAAAGCTTCCCCAGCAGTATGCGAAATTGACATTGATGAGGACCGGATGACTCAAATGAACAAAGCTTGAGCAATACTAAAATGTGAAATTCTGGCAATACGACTGTGAGATTTTGCTCTATGCACAACTGGATGTTTCATCAGAATAATAATTTGAGATGTCCCTATAGATTAGTGAATATAATATGGTGAAATTTAGCTTACTTTTTATAACACTGCTTAAAGAGAAAAATTCAAAGGTTTTGTAGATAATTTAATACAGTCTCTAATTTTATTAGAAACTTCAGATGTGTCATGCAATGAATTCTGTATCTCCTCAAAGTTCATATGCTGAACTTTTAATTCCTAGTATTTCAGAGTCTCTATCTCCTAGAACCTCAGAATGTGACTATGTTTGGGGATAAGGCCTTTAAAGAGGTGAGTAGGGTGAAGTGAGGTGACAAGAGTTGGGTTCTATACTTACCTGGCAGGGGAGATACCATGATCGAAGGTGGCTTTCCCAGGGCAAAGCTTATCCATTGCGCCGCGGATGTGCTGATCCCTGCGATTTCCCCAAATGTGAGAAACTCGACTGCATAATTTGTGGTAGTGGGGGACTGCGTTCAAGCTTTCTCCTGTTAAAAAATACTTAAAAAAAAAAAAAGTGTTGGGTTCTAATCCAACAGGACTGGTGTCCTTAGTAAAAGAGGAAGAAACACTAGGAATGCCGGTGCACAGAGGAGAGGCCAAGTCAGGACATAGAGAGAAGGTGGCCATCTTGCAAGCCCAGAGAGAGCCCTTAAGAGAAACCAATCTTGCTGGCACCTCGATCTTGGACTCCCTGCATCCAGAACTATGACAAAATAAACTGCTGTTGTTTAAGGCACCCAGTTAGTGATATTTTGTTATGGCAACTCTAGCAAACCAATGCAAGAGGACTTATGCTTTCCTTAAACTTCTAACAATTTGATTTGTTTTTAATTTCATTTACTATATGTAAACATGCTTTCAGAATTTCAGACTTCGTTAGAATGTTTAATTCCTTTCTACAAAACATGTGACTCTCTCAATTATCGTATATTTTTCTATACTTAGTGAAGCAATTTTTTTTTTATTATTCCCATTTTAGTTTCCACATTTCAAAGCTGGTTATGTACTGCAAGTCATACTTTTATGTATAAAAGATACCTTGCCTGTAACCTTCTCCAAGGTTTCCTTCAGGTTTCTTAATGAAAGGGAGGATTTCAATTCATTTCTTTGTTGTGCTTCATAGATTTCAATTAATTGAAATAGTGGCTTTGACAGAAACACTAGCAACTTTTTTTTTGTAAAAATAAATGTAATCTTAAAATACATATGTGTTAAATGTTTTAATGTTTGATCTCTTTGAAATAATCATAACCAGGAAGACAATTATAATGAAGACACCCAAATACAGAATTATTTTATATTTTGCATCCCTTACTCGAGGGGATTTAAGGAAAGACAGCACATTATAAGACATTACTTCAGAGAATTGATTTTTTTTTAAGACTTACATGTGATAGGCTACAAATTATCTACGGGCCAGAAAGTGAAAACCAGTCAAGCTTGGTTATTATAAATTTAATCATAATCACCTCCAATGTTCAATATTTTGAAATTAGTTAAAAGAAAAATTATTATTATCTTTGAAAATAGCTGTTATTGGAAATGTAGTTTGTGTAAATATATATTATATATATGTCTCATGTTCCTGTATCCCTTAACATTATCCTATGCATTTCACAACAAACTTCATATTCAAGCTACTACTCAAAAATGTGCTTTCTTTTCTTACAAAATTCCTTAGTGAGGCTGTGAAAAATGGTGGGACTTTTTAATGATGCTGTTGTTCCTGTTAATACTTATGCCATTTTCTTCCTCTAGAAGACGGCAACTGTGTGCCTGTTGAGAGACTTGACTCTGTAATTTCAGCAATCCCTGGAGAACAAAGTAATCTAAATTTTGAAGTACAAGTTTTGAAATATTTTTGAGGCCAGTTCCTTCTGTGTGGAAAGAATAAACACATCAAATGTTATTCCACTTGGTGAGATAAAAGAAATTCAGTCTAATCACAAGAATATCATCTTGATGAAATAAGAGTGGTAATTATGATAACATCTTTATCTTGTGTATAGGATGAAGTCTTATTGTAAAAATCATTTCAAATAACTTTAATGATTATTCATAGTAACTTTATCAGCATGTTAAATAATACTCTACAATATTATAGAAATGAAAAATATTTTAGTTTTTTGCATTATTAAAATATTCCTTCATATATTCATATATTTCAGCCACAGATGTTTCATATCTGCACATATAAGTGATAGAGCCACATTTTACTAAAATTACATCTTTTTAAACTGATGGTTTTGCTTTTAAAAATAACCCATTTCTAAGAACTCCCTTCCTATTTACTATAATTTAGCTTACTCTTAAAAATGTTTTTATCATATACTCAATAAAATACACACTGGCAAAAGTAAAAAAAATCAACTTTTTAGAAAACGAAAAAGTTAAGTATGTTTGATACTCACAGTTTTTTCTTAGTAATTTATCTCTTTTATGAATTCAAAAATCCAGAGATTTATAGTGTTCTAAAATTACCCTATAAACAGTACTTTTATCAGTGTTTTGAATATGCCTTAAACATGGTTTCTTTCTTCTTTTTTTTTAAATTTTTTATTGCATTTTAGGTTTGGGGGTACATGTGCAGAACATGCAAGACAGTTGCATAGGTACACACAAGGCAGTGTGTTTTGCTTCCTTTCTCCCCTTCACCCACATTTGACATTTCTCCCCAGGCTATCCCTCCCCAGCTCCCACCCACCACTGGACCTCCCCTTTTCCCCCTAATAGACCCCAGTGTTTAGTATTCCCCTCCCTGTGTCCATGTGTTCTCGTTTTTCTTCACCCGCCTATGAGTGAGAATATGCGGTATTTCATTTTCTGTTCTTGTGTCAGTTTGCTGAGAATGATGTTCTCCAGATTCATCCATGTCCCTACAAACGACATGAACGCATCATTTCTGATTGCTGCAAAATATTCCATGGTGTATATGTGCCACATTTTCCCAATCCAGTCTATCATCAATGGGCACTTGGGTTGGTTCCAGGTCTTTGCTATTGTAAACAGTGCTGCAATGAACATTCGTGTGCACATGTCCTTATAGTAGAACAATTTATAGTCCTTTGGATATATACCCAGTAATAGGATTGCTGGGTCAAATGGAATTTCTATTTCTAAGGCATTGAGGAATCACCACACTGTCTTCCACAATGGTTGGACTAATTTACACTCCCACCAACAGTGTAAAAGTGTTCTGTTTTCTCCACATCCTCTCCAGCATCTGTTGTCTCCAGATTTTTTAATGATCGCCATTCTAACTGGCGTGAGATGGTATCTCAATGCGGTTTTGATTTGTATCTCTCTAATGACCAGTGATCATGAGCATTTTTTCATATGATTGTTGGCCTCATATATGTCTTCTTTTGTAAAGTGTCTGTTCATATTCTTTGCCCACTTTTGAATGGGCTTGTTTGTTTTTTTCCTGTAAATCTATTTGAGTTCTTTGTAAATTCTGGATATCAGCCCTTTGTCAGATGGGTAAACTGCAAAAATTTTTTCCCATTCTGTTGGTTGCCGATCCACTCTAGTGACTGTTTCTTTTGCCGTGCAGAAGCTGTGGAGTTTCATTAGGTCCCATTTGTCTATTTTGGCTTTTGTTGCCAATGCTTTTGGTGTTTTGTTCATGAACTCCTTGCCTACTTCTATGTCCTGAATGGTTTCGCCTAGATTTTCTTCTAGGATTTTTATGGTGCCAGGTCTTATGTTTAAGTCTTTAATCTATCTGGAGTTAATTTTAGTGTAAGGTGTCAGGAAGGGGTCCAGTTTCTGCTTTCTGCACATGGCTAGCCAGTTTTCTCAACACCATTTATTAAACAGGGAATCCTTTCCCCATTGCTTGTTTTTGTCAGGTTTATCAAAGATTGTATGGTTGTAGATATGTTGTGTTGCCTCCGGTGCCTCTGTTTTGTTCCATTGGTCTATATCTCTGTTTTGGTACCAGTACCATGCTGTTTTGATTACTGTAGCCTTGTAGTATAGTTGAAAATTCGGTAGTGTGATGCCTCCTGCTGCGTTCTTTTTGCTTAGAATTGACTTGGCTATACGGGCTCTCTTTTGGTTCCGTATGAAGTTCATGGTGGTTTTTTCCAGTTCTGTGAAGAAAGTCAATGGTAGCTTGATGAGGATAGTGTTGATTCTGTAAATTACTTTGGGCAGTATAGCCATTTTCACAATATTAACTCTTCCTAACCATGAACATGGAATGTTTCCCCATCTGTTTATGTCCTCTCTTATTTTGTTGAGCAGTGGTTTGTAGTTTTCCTTGAAGAGGTCCCTTACATTTCTTGTGACTTGTATTCCTAGGTATTTTATTATTTTTGTAGCAATTGTGAATTGCAGTTTGTTCTTGATTTCGCTTTCTTTAAGTCTGTTATTGGTGTAGACGAATGCTTGTGATTTTTGCACATTGATTTTATATCCTGAGACTTTGCTGAAGTTGCTTATCAGTTTCAGGAGTTTTTGGGCTGAGGCGATGGGGTCTTCTAGGTATACTATCATGTCGTCTGCAAATAGAGACAATTTGGCTTCCACCTTTCCTATTTGAATGCCCTTTTTTTTTTTCTTGCCTGATTGCTCTGGCTAGAACTTCCAGTACTATATTGAATGGGAGTGGTGAAAGAGGGCATCCTTGTCTAGTGCCGGATTTCAAAGGGAATGCTTCCAGTTTTTGCCCATTCAGTATGATATTGGCTGTTGGTTTGTCGTAAATAGCTTTTATTACTTTGAGATACGTTTTATCGATACCGAGTTTATTGAGGATTTTTAGTATAAAGGGCTGGTGAATTTTGTGGCATGCCTTCTCTGCGTCAATTGAGATAATCATGTGGTTTTTGTTTTCGGTTCTGTTTATGTGGTGAATTACGTTGATAGACTTGCGTATGTTGAGCCAGCCTTGCATCCCCGGGATGAATCCTACTTGACCATGATGGATAAGTTCTTTGATTTGCTATTGCAATCGGCTTCCAATATTTTATTGAAGACTTTTGCATCTATGTTCATCATGGATATTGGCCTGAAGTTTTCTTTTCTTGTTGGGTCTCTGCTGGGTTTTGTTATCAGAATGATGTTGGTCTCATAAAATGATTTGGGAAGGATTCCCTCTTTTTGGATTATTTGGAATAGTTTCAGGAGGAATGGTACCAGCTCCTCTTTGTGTGTCTTGTAGAACTTGGCTGTGAACCCGTCTGGACCTGGGCTTTTATTGTGTGGTAGGCTCTTAATTGCTGCCTCGACTTCTGCCCTTGTTATTGGTCTATTCATAGTTTCAGCTTCCTCCTGGTTTAGGCTTGGGAGGACACAGGAGTCCAGGAATTTATCCATTTCTTCCAGGTTTACTTGTTTATGTGCATAGAGTTGTTCGTAATATTCTCTGATGATGGTTTGAATTTCTGTGGAATCTGTTGTGATTTCCCCTTTATCATTTTTGATTGCATCTATTTGGCTGTTCTCTCTTTTCTTTTTAATCAATCTGGCTAGTGGTCTGTCT